GATGTTGTCACAAATAATAGTGGGGCAGGGAGGGGGAGCATAGGAGGAATAGACAAACTCTAGATAGGGCAGAGGGGTGGGAGGGGAAGGGAGGAGGTAGGGGGTTAACAAGGATGGTGGAATGTGATGGATATCATTATTCAAAGTACATGTATGAAGACCCGAATTGGTGTGAACATACTTTATATAGAAACAGAGATGAGAAAAATTGTGCTGTATATGTGTAATAAGAATTGTAATGCATTCTGCTGTCATTTCTTTTTAAAAAAACAATTAAAATGAAAAAAATAAAATTACAAAAAGAAAAAGAAAAAGAAACTTAGAAATTCATCACTCTTTCCATAATTTAATATCTTAGGTTTAAGATCAAAAGACCAAGTGAATTTTAGGTTTTGATTCAAAGAAATGATATTGATAATTTTAAGATATGATTTTCTGTTCAACAAAATAAATTTATTTTATAAAAATATACTCTAATTGTTTCAGCTATACATTCTTGTTTATTCAATACAAATAATGTCAATGGGATATATAAATTAATTTTTAATAAGGTTGTTCTTCCATTTGTTTTTCTAAAACTATACTGATGATGATTATTTAAAAAGAAATAAACCATATTTTGGTCCTTAAATGTCTCCAAATTTATATTATACTTTTGTTCCTTACTTACTTTCATGTTTTAAGCAACTAAATTACTTGCATTTCTCAATTTGTTTGTTTGCAGACTATCTTTTCTTATGTTGTAATTTACTCATCTTGAAGAAGAGGATTGATCTCTGCACTTCAAGGTTCAGCACAAACTTACTTCCATTTACTTTGTTGGCCAATTTGAGAGGTTCAGGCTGGGCCTTCCCTGGGATCTTCTTTTATCTGGGCATAACTCTAAATACAGCCTGTCCACACTGCACAGCACATGTGTTTCAGTAGCCCTCTTTTATTTTAGAGACTGGGATATGGGGCCATGTATAACTTATCATTTCAGTTCTAGAAACTAGCACAATGCCTGATACAGAACATGATATCAGATTAAAAAGTTAATAAGCATAGATTTTATATGTAACTCTCTTTTTCTTGCTAATCATTTGCTCATTGCTAAATTTGCTTTCAGAAAAGTATGTTGGTCATGTAAGAGATACGCCTCTTAACTTTAAATTTGTATTACATACATTTCTGTATGAAGAACTGTGAGGTAAGAAATAATTCACTGTGAAATTATTTTACTAAACTCTCATTCATGTATTTGTTAGTTGTTTTTCTTGTGAGAGACATTACTTATCATTCAATGCTTTATAATATTTATAATATTTTCTTTAACAACTAGAATGAACTGATAAATTGAAAATCCTAAATCACAGTCAAATTGTAAAAGTGTATTTAGAATAATTTATTAGCCAAGACAATTATTTGGGGTGAATTTTACCTAAAAATACATTGAAAAGTTAAAGCACTATCTTCAAAGAAGTGTATTCACTTCTCTTGTTTTCAAGAATCTTTGTATACCTTATTTAAAATGAGGAGGTGATTTTCTCATGGAAACCATCTTACAAACATGTGATACAGAAACTGCATTTTAATATCTTAGTTTTGCTCATCTACTCAAACTTCCAAACCTGGAATTATATGTTCAAAGAGAGGATGCAAAATTATGTAACCCACATATGTTGTGATCCCATTTCCAGCAATAAATGAATAGAGAAGTTAAAGGGGTTTCAGAAAAGATATTGCAAGAAAGAGTTGATACTTATCAGAAAAAGTTAAAAACCTGCTAAGCTCTAGAGAGCCCTCTGACAATAAGACTAGAGGAAAGGGAAAAAAAATGGTAGCAACATCTCCAAAACAGAAATATATATATATATATATATATATATATCAGAGATATTTTAAAACTCTAGCACATAAATTAAATTAATGATCTAATTCTTCTTCTTTATGTAAATGACCTCTTACTCTGCTATTGTACATACAAATAATGATTCTAGTACCTCCAGCTAGTTTCCCAATTCTTTCCATACCAATCTCACCTTTTAATTCGTTAAATTATTAATGTGCGGGTTTTATCAACCAGAGTTGTGTTCATTTCTGTCACTTACTACCTTTATAATTTTCTCTGAGACTCCATTTCCTCACTACAAAATATTTATTTTTGTCAGTTCTATCTCAATCAGAGAACCAGAACTACCATGACTGATACAGAATAAATAAGAATATATTTTTACAATTGTTGGATCTGGTTAAAGTCTCTGAAGGATATCATTTGTGCCTTTGGTTCTAGGGCCTAATGGCAGCGGTTATGAAGGAAAATGCAAAGTGAGGAAGAAGGACAACTTGCTAATCACAGTATACAATGAAACAAGTTCATCTATCATTCCCACCACCAAGACTTCAAATACACATGTTATTTGCAAGAAAAGTTAATACCTTTTTCACTGAGCTAAATATGAACTGGACCACAGAGTTCAGTTAAAGATGAAACATGCTCCAAAATAAGTTTAATCTGTGAAGCTGCCTGCTGCCCCATGCCCATGAAGTGAGGTGACAGATAGGGGACATTTATGAAATGAAACAGTGCTAGAGACCCTGCATAAACTTTCTGATTGTTAAAGGAATATGGCTGCCTCCTTACTTCTCCCTCTCATCCCTATTGCAAACTACCTCTTAGATTCCACACAAACCCAGAAGTACATAGAGATTGAAGGTCTGGAAAATGTAGATTCCATTCAGTTATGATGACAATGCAATTTCATCACAGCATCTTGGGTCTGATGAAAGACGTATGTGATACATCCTAAATTTCCATACACAAAAGAAAAAAAAGTAGTATTTGCACAAAATTTTCTCCTTACAATAACTTGGACATCACTTCACCTATGTTATTGTATTCTGTTGAACATAACTGGCCATAAGCAAAATGGTTGAATGCTGTGCAATGTGATTTAAAGTCTAGGCCTGAGAAACCTACAATTTCCTTTTTTTTTTTTTAATGGATACAATATCTTTATTTATTTATTTTTATGTGGTGCTGAGAATCGAACTCAGTTTCTCACACGTGTGAGCCAGGCACTCTACCACTGAGCTACAGCCTCAGGCCCGGAAACTTACAATTTCCAACAAAACTGTAAACTGCAATAGAAAATGGACAACAAATAGATCTAATTAATATATTCTGATGAGAGCACAGAGTCTGATCCGAAAGAAAGAGAAAAGGATGAGTATCGCCTTTGGTTAGGAAACCGATTCGAGGCAAGGCAAAGTAGATATGAAAATGACAATCATTGTATTTTTATCCCCAAATGTCCTAGGAATAGTATTTGTCCCAAATATCTAACTGCAACTTAAAATCCCTAAATACAAAAACAACTTCCTAACTTTCCAGTGTGGGTTAAAGTAGTAACTATAAGCTTATATAAGAACAAGGTACCATTGCAGCCCAAGCAAGTGACCAAGCAGAAGTTATTTTATAAGAAAGAGACCAATTTTAATATCAGTTCTTTGATTTTTCAATAAAACACACACATTTCTAAGTGTATAGGAAAGCCTTACATCATGAAACATCCTTTCAGTTCTTAAATCAAGGAATTTCCAATCCATTTTTGATAAATACCAATGTATCAGTAGGATTTCAAGACAATAAGAAAAGGATTTGTGTTCATTTTACTCTCCCTGAGATTAAAGTCAGATGCACTGTTTGAGGGGAAGTCACCTTGGAAAGCTCAACAATCGAGTCAAACTGAGTTTGGGGGGTGGGAATTGCAGCTCTGAATGTCAAGGTCAAAAAATAGTTCAGTCACCGCTTCCTCTCCTAGTTATCCTCACTCAGCTTCTCCTTTCAGACACTTTCAGAACTCAAAACAACAATGTCCCCTTTGTAGCAGCTTTCCAGAAACTGCCAGAGGTGGGCAGTGAAATTCTCTACTAGGAAGAAATGGAACTGCTGTGTGAGTCCAGATGCTTGAAGGAAGTCTATGGTTAGAAAAGTATCTCCATCCACCATCCCCAGCCTTCTCCCTAGTGCACAAATATGCACATTCTTGTTTACAGCTCAAGGTAGCTGAAAGCAGAAAGAATAAATGTACATGTGAATAAAAAGGGGGGCATTTTTTAATTTAGAGGAATAAATAGAATTTGTCAGCATTTAGCACAAAGTCTAGCATATGCTCCCGAATTTTTTAAATAAAGTTAAATTTGTGAACAAATGCACAGAAAGATACTACAGATGAGAAAATATATATATAAAAGAAAATTAAGAGATGTGTATTCTTACAATGAATCTCATGACACAATGTGTCCTCTATAATCAACCCTTAGTTTCCTGAGGGCTGGAATTTTTCTGGTTTTGGTCATTGGTGAAACCCAGTGCCTGATACATAGGAGTAAATAATAAACTTTTTTTTTTTTTGATGGTGGTGATAGGGATTGAAAACAGGGCCTTGTGCATGTGAGGCAAGCATTCTACCAACTAAGCTATATCCCTAGCCTCTAATAAACTTTTTTTAATAAGTAAATTTGGATAGAACAGAAATCCCAAACTAGACACAATGGAAAGTATTACATTGAAATATGAACATGTACTTGCAAAAATAATCTGGGAGAGGACCAAGACATATATGTCTATTACATTTGTTTATTCCTTCAATAAAGATATATTAAATATTTATAACATTTATCAATACTGAATGATATGTAGGGTAACCAAGAGACCTCATTCTTGCTCCCATGGAACTTATGAGGAAAACTCAGAAAGAATGGAAGTAAACAAAATGAACTTGAGATTCTAATGTATATCTAAGTACAATTTGTTAAAAATTTACATATTCAAAAAAATATAACCTTATAAATATACCAACTACCCTACTTATAGGAGAACTGCTATTTGCTTCTTACTTCTAATAAGAAGGAGGAAATAGGGAAAAAAAGAGTATGTTAATTGGCTATTTTTATGTAACATATCATCCCAAAATTCACTTGTGTTAAACAGAAAGCATTAATTAGTGCTCACAAACCTATTGGCAGGGATGAAGTGTTCTCATCATGGCAGGCTCATCTGTAACCAGGTGTTGGTCAAGCAAGCCATTCTCTTGGCTAAGCACTCTTATTTGTCGGTCATCTAGCTCTATGCTGGCTCAGACGGCTCAAATGGGACAGCTGGACACTATCTCATTCACTGGCAAGGTTGCCAGATCAATTCACAAGGCAGGGACAGGATTTCTGAAAGAAAGAGCAAAAGTACCTGTTTTATTCAGATTTTTTACCACTGTGACTAAAAGACCTGACCAGAACAACTGTGGAGGAGGAAAAGTTTATTTGGGGGCTCAAGGTTTCAGAGGTCTCAACCCATAGACAATAGTCTCCATTTCTTGGGGCTCAAGCTGAGGCAGAACATCATCAAGGAAAAGTGTGTCAGAGGCAAGCAGCTCACATGATGATCAAAAAACACAGAGAGAGAGAAAGAGAGAGAGAGAGATAGAGAGAGAGGAGATATCTCCTCTTGCCAGATAAAAATATATACCCCAAAGCTACACCCCATAATGTCTTACCTTCTTCAGCCACACCCCTCCTGCCTTCAATTACCACTCAATTAATTCCATCACGTGATTAGTTCACCGATTGCGTTAAGGCTCTGGTAACCCAGTGGTTTCTCCTCTAAACCTTCTTGCATTGTCTCACATGAGAGCTTTTGAGGGACACCTCACATCCAAACCATAACAGCACCCAAGGTATCTTTACTCCTATGCTTAGAATGGGCATAGTATCACTTCTGCCACTTTCTATTGGTTGAAACCACAAGTTCAACTCGGAGTAAGACCATGAGGAAATAAAAGTCATATCACTGTGGAAGGACACTACAGAGTCACAAAGGAAAATGATGGCGTATTAGGACTCTCTTTGCAATAAACCGACCATCAATGTCCAGAAAACCTGGAAGGAAGAGAAAATGACAAAGACACCATAAGGAATTAGCCATACCTTTAGAGAGTAGTAAGGAGTAAAGCACAATAAAGACTGATGATATGTTTTAGAATGTAGCAGCAGATGGGGGTCAGTAAGAAGATATTGTGCATCTATTGTTCCCTATTATTCTAATTAATAATATTGAGTCAAGCACTGTTTAGAAAGCATTTAGCATACAAAGAAAAAAGAAATGTAAAAGTTTTTTTCTCCATTTTTCTTTGTAGAGATATCAGAAAAGACATAGATATTTATAGATGCAATCTTTTGGAGAGTGCTAGAAAGAAAATCAGAGAAAACTGTGGAGTGGTAAATGACAATGTTTTCTGTGAGTGAGGCTTTGTTACCTAAATGAATTTGTTTTCTTTATGAAAGTATATTAGTCAGATTTCTCTAGTGGAACAGAACCAACAGGATAAGTGAATTTATTAAATTATCTCAGAGGATCAGAACCTAGATAGTCCTACAATGGCTGTTTGAAGGATTCGTGGCCCAAGTGCCAAGTGGCCTACACAGTGCTGTGCATCTGTAGCAGAGTCTTCTTCTGTTCTGGGCCCCATCCAAAACTAGCATCCTTTTAAGTCACTTAGTATTTGGGCTGGGATAATATACTCAGGTGAGAAATGTGCACCCTCCAAAATCTAAATAGGCCCACCAGGCCTTGTACCTCCTTCTTGTTTATGAGTGAAATACAACCATTTATTTTTTATGTTAGTAGGGATATCGTGTCAGACCCACACCACTGGACTCTAGAAATTTTACTGAGGTAGAAGAACCTTGAATTTTAGTGGGATTTATTTCCTTTATTCTGATACATAAATACCTCACTAGCAGGTCCAGCGTGGCTGCTACCTCTTGCTCAGTTGTTCTAATCAACATAATGTAATCAGCATGATGGACCTTGTGGAAGAAAAAGGTCATCAAGATTTCTGCAAACTAAATTATGACACAGGGCTGGAAAGTTGATATATCCCTGAGGAAGGACTGGGAAAGTATATTGCTGACCTTGTCAACTGAAAGCACATTGCTTCTAGTGGACCTTATGAATAGGTATGAAGGAAAAAGCATTTCTCAGAATGATAACTGCATACCAGGTACAGATGTGTTAATTTGATCAAGCAAAGAAACCATATCTGGTAGAGTCACCACAATTGGAGTCACCATCTGACTGTGCTTACAATAATCAACTCTCATTCTCCAGGATCCATCATCCATCTTCTGTGCAGGTTAAAGAGAGGAATTAAATGAGGATGTGGTGGGAACCATCATCACTATGTTCTTCAAGCCCTTGAAGAACATCATCACTGTGTTCTTCAAGCTTTTCATTTACTATTTTCCTAGGTAGTGGCAACTCTAATGGTTCCCAATTGTTCTTTCCCCACATAATAATTTTCACTTCACCAAATAGGAAATCAATATGGGGTTCTGGCTAAGGGCTAAGTGTATCTGTCCCAATTATGCTTTCTGGGAACTAGGTTAAAAACCACAGGATTTGATCAAAGATGCACTGGACCAATTATGTGTCATACCTAGGCCAAAACTCCATTGATCAACTGACCCCCATAAGTTCCTGCTTTCACTAGAGGACCACAATGGTGTTTTGGATCTCCCAGAATCACTGTCAATTCAGAGTCCATGCCTAAACATTCAGATTATTGTTTTTTCCCCAATGCACAGTTACCCTGGTTAAAGGCCTTAAGTCCCTTTGGAGAATGATGAGGGAAAAATTAACAGCAAAACATTTTGGTACTGTACCAGGTCTTTTGTTAAGGGGATCTGGCCACCCTGAAATTCAAAGGGTCTGAGTTCTTGAGCCAGCTCCAGTCTAGGATTTGGTTGAGAGACTATGATTCTATATCATTATGATTCAAAGCATAATTTTTAGCAATTGACATGGAATTTTATTGCTTACATAGATTGACCAAGAATCTGGTATGTTTCCCATCTATTTGACCTCTGGGAACACCATGATTTATTAAACAATCTCACAAACATATACGAGTCAAGATATTCTGTTCATTGCTTCTCCTTTGCTGCCTATTATGGTAAGTATGACCACCTTGCTTTTGGCAGCTGAATGCCACCATTTTCCCTGCCTCTGTTGGATCCAGTTATACCCATTTCATTTAAGTTTCACAATTGAATGATGCATTGCCCACTATAAGGTCTGGAAGACAAAGAGCAAATACAGATATCTTCAAGGATGTTGGCATTCCCTTCACAACTCTGTTACTTATAGTATTGGTGAAGTGTATATATTCTGTACCCTACCAGTACAGAAGATTGGATAGTATGTGGCAAATCACTCCAGGATTCCAATTTCTCTCAATCTCTGAATTCCTTCATCAACAGAAAATCAAGAGATTAGGCATTTCTAGTTGATTCTCCAGAGGCCATCTTTTGATTCATTTCTCCCCACTAACCAAACATGCTACTATTACCTTTTTTTTAACACTATGAATTCTTACATTTATTCCAGAATCATTAATTAATGGACTCATATCAATAAATTTAGCCTGTCCTAATTTTATGTTTCTCCCACCATTATCCCACACCCTTAACATACATTCTTATACATATTCCCTAGACTTCTTCTTGAAGGATTTCAAAAACTCAGGAAGTTTCCATGGAGTGTAGCATACCTTCCCATGGATCACACTTCTCTAGGAGTCTGCTTGGTCTTAGATCTATTTATAAGCTTAAAGGTGAAAGGGGGTGGTAAGGCTGGGTCCTGAGAGTATCAACATTGTCATGCTCAGAAACTGCATAATGGAAAGTCACTGCTGTTTGCATAGGAATAGGAGGGTAGTTATCTCAGGAATTTCAAAACCAATGTCAGAGAATGGGGGTGAGAACTTCCCTGACACCACCAGTAAATGGCAGGAGGCCATTTTCACTGGCAAAATAAACTTACCAGCATGTGGAAATTCAGCTTTACAGGGTGTTCCCATAAATCTCCATTCCAATTTACAGGATCCCATTCTTTTCCAAGTTGTTCCCTCACTTTAACTGAGAGTTAAAACTGCATCATAATTCAACCAATTACAGGATGAGTGTTCAGATTGGTTCTTGGCAACCTCAGCCCTGTGGGCTACAGGAGAGAGAAGATTCTCCTTCAAAAGCATACTGAGAATCTTTTGGATTGATTATGTGAATCTGGAGCTGAGAAATTAAATCTGATCTCAACTTTCTCCTTTGCTACCTTTTCCATTGAAGCCAGAAACAACCAACAAACATTTTTATGATCCTTAGTTTTGCAAAAATGTTCAAAAGGAGGATTATACTTCTTACCTCTCACAGGTGGTGAATTAGGATTATCTAATGCATTTGATTATCTCTTGAAACAGTTCATTCCATGAATTTTCATGGCTCTCCATACTATCAGTAGGAAAGACTATAGCAAGTTTAGGCCTAGCCAATTTAAAGGTCCAGCTCCTGAAATTGGAAAAGCAAAGCAATAAATCCTTACAATTCTGTTTGTCTAGAACTAGTCCTCTTACCAAAATCTGAATTAGTCAGGGTTCTCTAGAGGAACAGAACAAACAGGAGATATCTATCTATATCTCTCTATATAATTTTGAAAAGGGATTTTTTATTCTTTTTTATATATGACAGTAGAATGTATTTTGACATATTATATATATTATATATATATATATGGAGTACAACTTCTCATTCTTCTGGTTGTATGTGTATTTACATTGGTTGTATATTCATATATGAACATAGAAAAGTAAACTCCAATTCATTATACTAATTGCTACTGGAAATACCCCTCCCTATTTTTCATTCTCCTTTGTCTAATACAAAATACTTCTATTTTTTCCTGCCCTCCTCCCTTATTGTGAATTAGCATCCGC